CCGCGGGGCCGCGCTCCGCCCGCCCGTGCCGGAGCCGTGCGTGCGGACAGGAGCCGCCGCCTCGCCGCGCCCGCCGCCCCTCCTGCCCGCGGGGCGCCCGCAGCGGGACACGCGCGCAGGTAACGCGGGGCGGGCGCGGAGCCGCCACGGCGAGCTCGGCTCGGCTCGGCTCGCTCCTGCTCGGCTCGGCTCGGCTCAGCCCGGTCCTGCTCAGGTCGGTTCTGCTCAGCTCGGCGCAGCTCCCCTCCCCTCCCCTCGCGGGGCGGCCGCGCAAGTTTGCGCGGGGCCCCGCCCTGCCAGCAAACGCGCGGGGATGCGGGGAGCGCAGCAGCGCTGGGGATGCTGGTGTCGCGGGGAGCCCGGGGCTCGGGCTGGGAACGAGAGCGAGGTGTCGGACGCGGGGCGGTGCAGAGTGGTTCCCAAGGGAGGCGTAGAAAGGCAAAAATAACAGTCGTTCTCCTTTTGGGGTTGTTTGGCGCTTTTGCGAGCCAGGAGCTGCTGTGCTCCCTGGAAAAAAAAAAATGTAGCCATGCGTTTCAAGTTTTCTGTTCTGGCCAGCAAATAGCCCATTACGTTCCGTAGCATTTCCTTGGAGCTGGACATACAATGTTATTAGTCGGCTTTGGCACCATTTGGGAAGTTGTATTCTTTTTCGGGATAATGTTGCAGTTCTTTTGGTGAGCTAGAGAAATAGGCATACCATTAATGTGTACAAAAATCCTTTTTTCTGGACTTCTGAAGTGACTTCAATCTGTTGAACACTTCCAGGTTCTCGGGCTAGTTTTTGCTGTTGCACATTATGAACAAGAACATGAGAATCAGCAGCTTTTCATCTTTAGCTTGTGAATGCAACCCTTCTGAGGTTTCAGATTTTGTCTCGAATGTTATCCATCTGTATTGATGTGAGGGCTTTATTTCTCAGGTAACAACACAGCTCAGTGCTTTCCTAAAGCTTTGGTGGTCATGCAGTAACTGCCACTCACATTAACTATTTTAATCTGTGTAGATGCTTAAAAACCTTCTCTGACTTTTTCTGTGCAGTCTTGATACTTCTCCAGTATTATGAGGCCAGAAAGGTTGTACTTCTTACAAATTAACACAATGTGCTTCCTCCTTGTATGTGCTCACCATGGGGTTTTTGGGGATATTTTGCAGGGTTTTTGTTTTTTGCGTGTTTTTGGGGGGTTTTTTTCTGTTCTTTTTCTTCTTTTAACATAGAGAAAGGTCATCCAAGACTGTAAATTGTTCCCAGCTATAAAGATTAATTGCCCTGTTGCAAGGATTGAACTGACTGGACTGCACAACGACCAGCCAGTCAGAGATAACTTAATAGGTATTCATATTGTGGGATATAAGCTCTTATCTATGAATAAACCTTAATATAAGTATCTCATCTAATTGAAGGAACATTTCCTGAAAAAAACAATTGCCTTTAGAGGATGATGGTTGCCTGCCTAACTTCTGTGTTCTTGAAAATTTCCCTTAAAATATGTAGAGGAAAAGAAATATCCGGCCTGTTAACTGTTCTAAATGATGATTTAGGGATTTTGTGATTTAAGTGATAGCTTTAAGTGAAAAAATGATGTTCAGTACAAGATATTAAACATGTTAAATTAGCACAGGTTATCTGGTGCCTCTAACTCAGCTAAATGTTAACTGCAATCATTTGACTCTTGCAGTAAATATTCAAATGTACCTCAGATCCTGCCACAAAACTGCAGTCTCTCCTAGTCTTGTGCAGCCTAGCCTCCTTCCTAAGGCATTCCACTGAAACTACACGAGACCTAGGCAAGCCCACACATGGGTATGAACTCCCATGGGTGTAGCTGAGCACAGTCAGGAATGTGTGGTGTGCAGACCAGCATTACAGAACTGGACCTCGTTTGCTTGACTGATTAGATGCAGGAGGTGAAAATGACCCAACTTTTGGAGCTGACAGCTAGAAAACCTCCAGCAGGTACCTTTGGATTGACTAAATCTGAGCTTTGAAAGCAGGTGCAAGAGCACCCTGGCACTATCGTGCATTTAGTTTAGAAATATACTTCAAATATGATGTGAAGGTTTTGAAAAGAGGCTGCACTACTTAATTCTGTTTTCCACAATGGGATTTTCAGGAATTTCCATTTCCCTGAAAGTTACAGCCACGTGCTGCACCAGGATTGACCAACCAACATGAGGGAGGGTGAGCGAATCTCCAAGAATAGAAGCAGTTGTTAAAACAAAGCAGGAAAATAAATGTCAGTAAGTGCACACAGCCTTGTGAAATCAGTGGCATGCTAAGATGAGTTTGGGGACTTGAGATCAGTGATATGGGAGGAAAACTTCTGTTTGCATCTTTACTGCTGCTGGCACTCAGACTGATAGCAACTAGTTTCTTTTTGAGCAGGAGAGAAAACTCAGAGAGCAAAGAGATTGGCATGTTTTGAAATTAGGGGGGAAAGTCTACTTTCTTTTTACACATTCAAAATTAAAATAAAATTCTCTTTGGGCATTTTTTGCAAAGGGAACTTGTATCAGCACAGCAGTTGTCTGTTGAAACCTGCAGATTATACTGTTATTCCTTCCCTCTCTGTCTTGCTGTCACTCTGGAACTGTGACTGTAGGAAGATGGTGCAGAAGGGGTTTCTGTGCACCACAGACTTTTGTGGAGCCCTGGGTGTCCAGCCAGGGTCTGAAGAGACGATTTTGTGACTTCTTCAGTGCTCCTTCCTCATGGAAATGAGGACACGTGGTAGGGAAGAGTTTGTCTGTCACCCAAGGCAGAAGGCAGCCATAGCACAGAAGGAATAGAGCTGCCAAGCCCATGCTGGACTTCAGAGGCACTCCTGATGCTAAACTTCTTCAGTACTGATGCATCTCAACAAAACATGTCTACTTCAGAAAACCAGAATATTTGCTTTTTGTTTTTAAAGAATTCTATTAAAAAACACAATGAACCCTTCTGCTAAATCCATACTGCAAGAGCTTTATGTGGAGGTGTAGAAATCCACAGAACCTGGCAACAATCTTTCACTTAAAACTTCAAGAAGAATTCAGTAAACATTTATTTATTAAACATGTTACAATATAACACTACAAAAATTTTTGTTCCTTGATCCTATTCTTAGTATTATATTATCTTATTCAGGGCAAAGGTTATGTAAAAAAAGTTACGTAGAGTTACATTTAGGAAATAGAAATTCCAGCAGATTTGGGAAGACACTGTGGTGCACAGATCATACAATTTTCAGTTGGTTACTAGAAACTCAGAAATTAGCTCAGAAAAATTAAGTAATGAACTATCTACTATATCAGCTAACAGTTGTATAAGGAGAAGCCCACCAAAATGAAAACTTCTGATAAAAACAATGTAGAAATAGAGAAATTAGATCACTTGCAAAATCTCGAGTCTGCTCCTTTAAACTTGGTCTAGAGGCAAATGTAGTCTCAGCATTGTTTGTCTATCATATGGTTTTCCACCATTTCATTAAAGACTAGAAGAAACTGAACAGAAATAATATGGATTAATGCTTCTGCTCATATGCACACAATTATAATATTTAGGTTATCTAATTTCCTGTATTCAGTTCTTAATTCTATTTTAGCTGTTAAAAAGCACTTTAACATTGAGGCAAATTGGGAAGGCTGACTTCTTTTCACTGTTTTCCAACATAGTACCTGCAAGATCTTTTTACAGATATATATATATATATTTCTACTCTTACTTGGAGGACCTTCACATCACAATACAGTTAGTAAACATTCTTGGGTTGTTTTATGGTTTGAGCTTCCCTTTGCCTCAAACCATAACAGTAGGAACACATATGATATGAAGGAAGGAGCACATCTGCATGTGTGGAGGGAACCGAATAATACTACTGCACTTGGAAAATTTCAGTATGGTACAGCTGACAGAGGATTGCTACAGTCTTGAAGAGTCCTGCCTTTTTTAGGTGACAGATAAAGCCTTCTGCTCTATTTATGTGTGCTTTGGGTTTGTAGATCTTTTTTGTTTTCTCTTATGTAAGATTTCTAAACGTTAAGCAGTTTTGTAGAGGACATTGGCACTCTGGGGAATTTTGACTTTGAAACTAGTACATGCAAGTGTTTAAGATAAATGGAGGTTTGAACTGGATTCTCATGTCTTCCTCTTTGTTCTAAAATGAAAACTAATATATGAAAATCCAGTAGACAGAATAACTTTATGCTGCTCTAGGTTTAACACTAGATGATTCTGTGCTGAATAAGTAGCAGTTCACTGAATTTCCAAATGGCTCTGTGGAGTTTGCTTCCAGTTAACGCTGTCCTCTCTATATTACATCCAATTATTTGAGGTGTTTTTTAGTTTTCCTATCTGCTTGAGCACAGTTAAACTATATTCAGCACGTAGTAGAATATGTTTTCTATGCACACCACGTTAGGAATTCCATCTTGGATTACTGACAGTGGATTTCCTGATCCTTTTTGAAAGCTCACACCTATTTTGTGTTAGTTCTCTACTAGCAAGGTAAGAAATACTGCTTCAGTTGTTAGCATATGCATTTTCAGGTTCTTTGTAATTTGCAATGATATAATGATTAGGCATCTGCCCAGATGGTGACTGTAATTTCCTTACTCATATCAATGGGCTGTTATTCACATGAGTAATCTCACCGACTCGAGGTGTATTGCTTTTGTAGCTAACTGCTCCCTCATGGAAAGCCTGACAATATGTTCTGTAGCAAAGCACCGTTAAAAGGCAGCATCATAATGCAGACCTGTAAATTGCTGTTCTCCCACCTGAGCATCTAGGTAGGAGGCCTAGGAGTGCTGAACACCAAATGATAAAGCCTACTTAGCTAATTCATGTTGAACTGAAGTTATGCAGTATCTGCCTCACAGTAGACTAACATCACAAGTAAATTATTTGCATTGAGGTGAAACAAGGTAAATTTATGTATTTTTACATTCTGATTAACAGCAATATCATCATTTCTTCAGATGCTAATTAATGCCTTTCTCATTCTAAGCAGGACTATAAAATGGATTTAGGATTCAAAGACCGTAACAACAGGACACATACCAAGAACACCTCTGCTGCAACAAAGAATTTTTCTGCCTGGGAAGACTATAAGAGTAGTGTTGATGACATGCAGTACTTTCTTATTGGGCTGTACACACTTATAAGTCTGGCTGGCTTTGTGGGAAATCTGCTTATACTAATGGCCCTGCTAAAGTGCAAGCAGAAGACAGTAATAAACATCCTCATTGGAAACTTGGCCTTTTCTGACATCTTGGTTGTGCTGTTTTGTTCACCATTCACGCTGACATCAGTCCTGCTTGACCAATGGATGTTTGGCACTGTCATGTGCCATGTAATGCCCTTCCTCCAGTGTGCGTCAGTCCTAGTTTCAACTTTGATGTTAATATCTATTGCTGCAGTCAGGTACCGTATGATAAAGTATCCCCTCTCTAGCAACCTCACAGCAAAACAAGGCTATTTCTTAATAGTGATCATTTGGGCCTTTGGCTTCACAATTTGCTCCCCTCTGCCAGTTTTCCATAAAACTGTGGACCTCAGCAAAACTCTGAATTTAGAGGGACTGGAGAACAGGCTGCTGTGCATCGAGTCATGGCCTTCCGATTCCTACAGGATTGCCTTCACCATAGCCTTGCTGTTGATGCAGTACATCCTGCCGCTGGCGTGCCTGACCGCCAGTCACACCAGTGTCTGCAGGAGCATAGGTGCTAGGCTGTCAAACAAGGAAAACAAGTTCGAAGAAAAGGAGATGATAAATCTAACTCTTCATCCCTCTAAGAGCACTGGCCCACAGGTTCAACCCTCCAGATATTCCAGGTGGAGCCGTGCCTTTGGCAGGAGGCACCACAGAAGATACAGTAGAAAGACTTCAAGTGTGATGCCAGCTATTTCAAGGCATCATCAGGATACTCACTCCAGAGTTCTCCCAGAAACCTCTGACACAGAAAAAAGCCAGCTCTTTTCCTCCAGTAAATTAATCCCTGGGATCCCTATCTGTTTTGAAATGAAACCAGAAGAAAATACAGAGATCCAGAACATGATTACAGTATCCCAGTCCATCATCAGAATTAAGACAAGATCAAGGAGGGTTTTTTGCAGACTGACAGTGCTAATACTGGTTTTTGGCTTCAGTTGGATGCCTCTTCACCTTTTCCACATTGTGACAGATTTTAATGCCACTCTCATTTCCAACAGGCACTTTAAATTAGTATATTGCATATGCCATTTGTTGGGTATGATGTCCTGCTGCTTGAATCCCATCCTCTATGGGTTTCTTAACAACAGCATAAAAGCTGATTTAATGTCCCTTATTCCATGCTGCCAAATACCATGATTTTATGTGCCCCAAGATAAAGTAAATAAGTATGGCTTTCAAGCCTAGTGGCATATATAGCTGTAAAAGCTAAATTAGTTTAGTTTAGTTAGTCTGACTTGGTTGTGATTAGTGGCATTTTTTTGTGGATGGATAGTTCTACGGCTGCATGTATTTCTTGCCTTGGGCAGAAATACATGCATATGTTATAATGATGTTTTATCTGTTACATGTAGGAAATCATGCCCAGTGTACAAAACCAGAATACCATTTTCATTATCCAAATTGTTGGCAACCTGTACTTTGGAATTATACAGAATATATAATGAGTAATAAATGTGAGACAGACTACTTAGACATATCAGTATTAACTGTCATAAAACTATAATAAAATACATATCATTTACTAAATAATTATTGTTGAGACTATTTCAGTGCCAGCTTTGTTTTCTAATACAATTAAATCTCTCTTTCTGGATGTGATTAGGAAAATATTTTTCCTTAACTCTTTGACTCATAGTTTGCAATATCTTCGCAAGATGCTTTACTGCTGATTCCTAGGTTGCCTTATTCCCTGGAATGGGTTTGAGGGTCATTGTTCTTGTCTAGATTGTTTCCATCACACTGTTTTTATCCAGTACAACCTATCTTTGATTTCCTCAGCCAATTTTCACTCTGGCTTGTCATTTTATGTAATTTTCATCCAGCCTGAATTTATCTATAGTTATGTCTTTCTTCTAAATAAATGACACCCCTGACATCAACACAGGTGATGACACCCCTGAACATACAACACATTTATGATCAGAGTAAGCCTTCATTATCTAAGCAAATGATAGCGGAAAGAAAAAGAAAATGGAAACACAACAGGAATTTTTCTCTTCCTTTATCAAAATGCAAAAGCTTACTGCACTATAATATAGTGGATCCACTTGGACCTACAATGCTGCTAAAGCTTACTGCACTTCATTATACCCACTTGCTTTGGAAAGGTATAACAGCTTTCAAATAAACATGTGCTTGTGCGCCTTGACAGATTGGGGGGGAGGAGGTGGGGAGGACCAGAGCAGACTATTTTTAAATTCAAGAAAGGCAAGTGCAGGGTCCTGCCCCTGGGGAGAAATAACCCCCTGCAGCAGGACAGGCTGGGGGCTGAGCTGCTGGAAAGCAGCTCTGCAGAGAAGGATGTGGGGATCCTGGTGGACAAGCTGTCCCTGAGCCAGCAGTGCCCTTGTGGCCAAGAGGCCAATGGTGTCCTGGGATGCATTAGGAAGAGCATTCCAGCAGGTCAAGGGAGGTGATCCTGCCATTCTGCTCAGCTCTGGTGAGGCAGATCTGGAGTGCTGTGTGCAGTTCTGGGCTCCTCTGGACAAAAGAGACATGGAGCTTGTGGAATGGATCCAGTGGAAGGCAACAAGGATGATGAAGGGACTGGAGCATCTCTCGTACGAGGACAGGCTGAGGGAGATGGGCTTGTTCAGACTTGAGAAGGAGACAACTGAGAGGGGAACTCATCAATGTCTGTCAGTATCTGAAGGAAGGGTGCCACGAGGATGGAGCCAGGTTCTGCCAGTGGTGCAGAGCAATAGGACAAGAGGCAACAGGCAGGAACTGATGCACAGGAGGTTCCACCTGAACATGAGAAAGAGCTTCCTTACTGTGTGGGTGACAGAGCCCTGGAACAGGCTGCCCAGAGAGGCTGTGGGGTCTCCCTCACTGGAGATACTCAAGAACCTGCTGGATGCAATGCTGTGCCGTGTGCTCTGGGATGACCCTGCTTGAGCAGGGAGGCTGGATCAGATGTGACCCACTGCAGTTCCTTCCAGCCTGACCCATTCTGTCATTCTATGTATGAAAACACATGTGCAAACACACAAATATACACACACATACATTTTCTGCATGTCCCCTCCTTTTCTCCTTTTTAACCAGACCAGTACTTTTCCTTCCAAATTTAAATCACAGGTATTTTCCCTAAGTCATAATATATTTCATAACACAAATGCAAAGTGTGTATATATATATACATATGCATATATACTTACCTGCCCCAGATTACTCTAATTTAATAATCCATCTCTGCCCTCAGGATTCAGTAAATATACAAAGCCTTTGATTTGGGTTTTAAGCTGTAACACCTCTCCCCACTTATAGGTGGTGATTATTTCCTTTTCTCCACTAAGATTTTTTATCCAATAGGCTTTTTTGTATATAGCTTCTACTGACTGAGAAATAAATTTATTATTTTTATAAATGGGTGGTTGGAAACAGTCATTGTGCACTTTTTTCCCTCAAGATATGTTGTTTCCAGATAGTCTTTAAAGTGAAAGCAGGTCTTTTATTTTGAAGCACCATCAACTTATTTTTTATCACAGTGTTATAATTCTGAGACCCTTCCTCCCCAAGCCATTAACTGCTACGGATTATTACGTGCCAGCAGGTAATAGCTTCTCTCCTTAAAGAATTTTCTAACATCTAATTCCCAGTAAACCACTGTTCTTTGTTGTCAGTAGTGATATATTTTAATAGTTTCTTCCTGGACATTGACTATTGCATTTTGCAGATTATTATATTCTAAGACCCTACCATATGTCACTTATCAGAGTACAAATGGTACAGAATAGATACTGCTGGAACAATAGATATTAAAATAGCTTTTTAAATGTTTTAAGTACTTTAAAAATATTTGTGACTAATCTTAGTACATAAATTTAGGAAAAAGTTAACTAAATCTAAACTCAGAACACAATTATGTAGTCTTACAGAAGTTACTGTAGCTTTTGTCCTCTTTCTGTCCACAAATTTTTGCATCATTGTAACATGTAATCTTATTTATACTATATGATATAGCCAAATAGTATAAAAGGATAAGAAAGCAGTCACATTGTTTCAGCTTGAAATATTCCTTCTGAATTAATTTTTCCCAATTTACTGTTATCTTCCTTCCTACTTGCTGTTTATTTTCTATTCCTTGCATTCTTTCAGAATTTTAACTGTTTTAACTCCTACATTGTTGACTGTTATTTATATATAAATTAAATGTTTATTTAGTAAGTACTCTTTCCAGATCAAATTCTACTCACTCTGTACGGCAAACAGAATCATGCTAGGACTGCAATAAGGCCTTCCTCTAGTTTCTGAGTTGCACAAAGATCAGTCTGTATATCGGAGAGTTTACATTTATATCTATTTGCCTGGATGAACTGTGCTCCCTACTCTTTACACTGATCAAAGCACAGCAAATTGTAATTTGGCAATAGAGAATTAAATCAAGACAGCTATTGAACTTCTTTAGTCCTGTGCCATATAAATCTGTCATCTTTTTTTAAGTCAATCAATAGTGGGAGAATGTGTATTTTCTTTTTATTTATAAAGCAATCGTTAGCATTCTATTTGGAAATTTCCAAAATATCCCTGTCTTTCCTCTGAAATGTTAAATAAAAATAAAACCACTTTTCTACCTTCCACTTTACTTCAACAGCCAGTGTAGCTTGGTCCCAGTATCAGCAAGGAATACATATGAAGCAGACAGGAGCAGTAGCAAGTGAAATCAGGCATTAGGCAATTCCCAAAGGAGTGACTTCTATGAAAGGGGTAAGAAACAACTGAACCATCCATTTAACATCCTCCCAGTCTTGAACATTTAAAAAAACAAAAAATAAAAAATTCTAAACACAAGGATATTTCCTCCCTGCTTCCTTATTAGGCCTCATCTGGTCTGAGCTGCAGTAGATGCTCCTGTGGCTTCATATCCAGCTGTGACTGGCAGTGTGGTGTTGTTTCCACATGTGTTGGGAAAATGTCATCACAATATTCAATGACATTTTATCATTCTTACATGTGGACAGGTACATATACAGGTACAGATATAGATAATGCACACTTCCTAGAAAGCAAGGCACATAACAACGGATTTTCAAGTAGCACATATAACCAAGTCCTTTGGCCAGCTACCCCTTCTGTAACTAAAAATCTAAATAAATGGGAAGATAGGAGTTTTGTTTTGATGGCATCCACTAAATGCAATCAGGAAACAGCAGCTGCAGAGCCATGTATCCATTGGAGTTAGAAGAATGGATTGTAATGGTAGAGTAATTCTGCTCTATTAATTAGAAAAAAAAAAAAAAAAGCTCTGAGACAGCTGGTCCTTGTGTATGATGGATGTTAAAATTCTTAGGAAGGCTCACATAACATAAATTGTTTTTTCTAGTTCTACAAAATAACATTGACAAAGTTGACTTTTGGCATATGTCAAAGATTAAAATTCCCCTTTGCCCCTTCTCTTTCAGTGGAGAAAAAACAGATGTCCTGGCATGTCCAGGTCACTCCTGGGCCAGCCAGGCCAGTGACCATGGCTGATGTGAGATCTTCACGGGCTGACACTGGAGTGTATTTCGTGATATTGACGTGAAGGAGTTGGAGCCTCTGTGCTTCCTCACAGTGCCATGGCAGCAGAGTCTGGGAGATCTGTGCATGGCTGCCATGGGTTCAGAGCAGCTGCAGCCTCAGCAGGCAGCACAGAATCCTTGCGGAGGAACTGCATCCCAGGTGGGGTACAGCCAGCTTTGGGCAGGGCTGTGGGGACTGGGGAGCTGGCACAGACACAGTGGGACAGGAAAACCACGTTGCTGCTGTACTGGCAGTTGGTTGCCCTGTTCCTGGAGCCTGGAAGCTCTCATGACCAAATGTTTCCTTTTCAGAAGTATGAACACCTGAGAAAAGGGGAAAAAACATTGATCTGCAGATGTGTAAGAACCAAGCAAAGGAGCATAGTCAGGAAGAAAAGCATTCACTTCCAATCATGCTGAGATAGGACCCAGTTCTTCTGTGCAAAAGTATTAACAAACTAAAAAAGCCCTTCTGTTATCCATAGGGGTCTGTCAGCTATTACTGCACTTTTGAAAAAAAAAAAAAAACAACCCCCAAAAAACCAGACATCAATAGATTTTCACAGTAGTCCCAATATCACTCTACAGCATACAAGACAAACAGTATTAAACATCAGTCTCCAGAAAGATGGCTTTCACAAATACTGTTGGGTCCAGGAATTTAACCTTTTGTTTTGTTGAAAGTAAATTATGCCTATGCTATTTGCATTT